CAAGTGCTTTGGACACTTTTTACCCATTCCAGTGTTATATGGAGAACGTTGAAACTAAAAATTATATTAACCTGTTCATGTGCAGTAGTTACTACTAAATTAAGTGAGGAACATTCACAGTCGATATTAGGTATATCTCTTTTGGTATTCAACATTAATAAACACATGGATCTGTAAATAAAAATTTTTCAGGGACAGTATTCTAGATGTATTTTGTTATTAAAAAAGTATTAATATGTGCTTTAATAGTGTAATTTTCTAATGTATTTACGATACTTTATACATTGAAATTTCCCCAAATCTTATTGTTAAGACAGTTTTTTAGATAGAACTTTCAGCTTCAGTGAGAAGCAAAATTGAATATAAGATTTGTTTTTATTTTAAGAAAATTGAACTTCTAATCTTAATCTTATTAAATTCATTAATGATACGAAATTATTTTTATATGTTTAAATTTAAATTTAATATAAAATAATTAGGGACTTACTGTTATTTCCTTCCTGGCATATTTTGGTGTATAGTAGGCATGCTTCTCATCATTGCTCTTTCTGTCATATGATGACATCTTGCTCTTGAGATTTGTTGCTTGCATATGTTGCACTAAGGGATTCTTGAACCATTGAATTACACATAGTGTATTCACAGTTGTGAACATAGGAGCTACAATAGGGAGTCCTGTCAATTTTGAAGACAAAATTAAGAAAGGTCGCCCTGTGAAAGATTTTCTAGTATAAATCATGGAGGTGTGGTTCTGCCTGCACTCTACAATTTGGTCAATTTATCTCTCTCCCCCTGTGAACTACATGCTTCCTGAAGACAGTACTGTATCTTAATCATCTTTGATTCCACAATGCCTAGATGATGCCCTTCACAGAGTAGGCATTTAGTTTATGTTAGAGGAATGCATGAAGGCATTCACCCTGACGAGCTGCATCATAAATGCATTGCTTGCTGATGAGCCAAAAGATTTCCTGACTCTCTTCTCAAAAACTGGGTGAATTCTCACAGAAATATGACTGAGCCGTAGCTGTTCCTAACTACAGTCATTTCCAGACTGTAAAAAAGCTGATACTGTCATGGGATAGTGATATACATTATCAAATAAGAAAGGCCTGTTAAGTGACCTCACCACAGTTCTAGTAGGCACACAGTAGGCACACAGTAGATGCTAACTTTCATTTCCTTTTTCTCTTTCTCTTAAATTTTGTATCAGGGCCACCAAGAAAATTCTTTCTAATGGTAGGAAAAATTGTCCTTCTGTTCGAACAATTATTCATAGTTTTTCAAGATCTAGTTTGGACACACCCAAGTTAATGATTCTGCTGGAAAGAAGTCAGAGCAACTGGCAGGCAGAACAGGTACACAGAATAACCTAGATAATGGACCTGCCCAGTTTCACAATATTTTCTACACTGGCTGTTCTAGTCACAGTGTATCCTAGAATTTTATTTACATATATGTGTATGTGTACACATGCATGTATATATTCAATTTATTTTATTTTGTCCTTCTAAGCCACCTTCTTTATTTTTTTAATTTTCATTTATTTAATTAATTTCTTTCTCCTCCCATTGACCCCTGCCACCCCACTTCCACCCCCTTCCCAGCCTTTCACCCCATTGTTGTCTGTGTCCATGGGTTTTACATATATCCATATAAGTTCTTTAGTTAATCTCTTCCACCACCAACCCTTCCTTGTGAAATACATCAGCCTGTTGCATGCTCCAGTATCTCAGGGTCTATTTTGTTCGTCAGTTTACTTTGTTCATTAGCTTTGTCTTAAAGAAGACCCTTCAGTATTTCATGTAATACTGGTCTGGTGGTGATGAACTCCTTTAGCTTTTTCTTATCTGGGAAGCTCTTTATCTGACCTTCAATTCTAAATGATAGCTTTGCAAGGTAGAGTAATTTTGGTTGTAGGTCCTTGCTTTTCATCACTTTGACTATTTCTTGCCACTCCCTTCTGGCCTGCAGAGTTTCTGTTGAGAAATCAGCTGATAGTCGTATGCATGCTTCCTCATAGGTAACTAACTGCTTTTCTCTTGCTGCTTTTAAGATTCTATTTTTGTCTTTAACCTTTGGCATTTTAACCTTTAAAAGATAGCATTTAAATTCCTGTAGTGGGGTCTCCCGGCCGGAGCTTTTTTGGGCATTTAAATTCAGCTCTCCAGGCATTTACTTTTTTGCCTCTATCTTATCATCATAGAAGGAACGAGAAATAACTCAAAATGAAGTGGGAACAAAAGTTCCCATTCGGCCAGCGGGACCCACTCCTTGCCAGGAACTGAAGTTCCCTTTCGTCCGATAAAGGTTAATTATGATGTGTCTTGGTGTGAGCCTTTTTGGGTTGATCTTGTTTGGGACTCTCTTTGCTTCCCGGAATTGTAAGTCTATTTCTTTCCCCAGGTAGGGGAAGTTTTCTGTAATTATTTTTTCAAATAGGTTTTCAATTTCTTGCTCCCTCTTTTCTCCTTCCAGCATCTCCATTATTCGAATGTTGGTATGCTTGAAGTTGGTATGCTAAGAAGTCCAGAGGCTTCTTATACTGTCTTCATATTTTTTGGATTCTTTTTTCTTTTTGCTCTTCTGATTGGGTGTACCATTGTTTTGAACTCTGTATCTGGCAGTTTTCTTGCTTTTATTTCATTTAGTTCCTTTTCTGGAGATTTCTCCTGTTCTTCCATTTGTTACTTTCTTTGTATCTGCATTTTGGCTGCTTCCCTGTGTTTGTTTCTATGTATTAGGTAGATCTGCTATGTCTCTTGGGCTTGGTAGAGTGGCCTTATGTAGTAGGTGTCCTGTAGGGCCCAGCGGCTCAGCCTCCCCAGTCACCTGAGCTGAGCACTCCAAGTATGCCCCTGTGTGAGCTGTGTGTACTGACCTATTGTAGTTGAGCCTTGGTTGATGTTGGCATCACTGGGAGGGATTGGCCCCCAGGCCAGTCAGTTGCAAGAATCAGCTGCGAGTACAGTGGAAGAGCTGCTGTGCAGGAGCTGACTCTATGGAGCAGGACTTGCTTCAATGGGGCTTTGGTGCTCACTGAGTCTACCCTTTGAGTATGTCACTTGTGGAGGTGGTAGGGTTGTAATCCATTGTGGTTGAAGCTGACCACTGGTTGCACTGTCTCTGGGGCCTCCTGGGAGGTGCAAAATCAGCCTCTGCCTGTGCCCTACCCAGGGCTACCCAGCATGAGCTACACAGCAATCTGTAGGTGGCTGCTACTTGTATTGGGCTTGGAGGTGCCCAGGAGAGGCCAAGCTATTAACCAAATGGGCTGCCACTAGTGCCGGCCTGGGGCCAGTTACCAAGAAGTATGGGGCACCCTGAGGCCAGCTGCTATTTGTTTGAGAGATTTTAGGAAAGTCCGAAGCATGAGGCAAGAGAGCCCAATTGTATAGAAAAGCCTCTGGAAATGGCTTTGATGATCCTGCAAGTAGGGAGGATCAGGGTCTCGGAATCACCAGGGCAGGGTGAAAAGTGTGAGCCAGGTTGATGGAGATTCAGAAATGGTGCCTGCCTGCCGGTTCTGTGCAGGGAGGGCTGGTCAAAGGAACAGTGGCCTCTTCCAGCATTTCTTTCTGGGAGAAAAGTGCCCCCTCCAGCTTTCTTCCTGATTCCAGGCAAGTTAGTTTCTCCCTGAATGTCCCAGGCTCCTTTCAAGCTGCTGCCCCAGCCCTGGAGCTCAGAGGGAATAAGTCCAATTAAATTCGTGCTCTGGCCCTTTAAGAGGCTGGGACTCCAACAGCGTCAGCCTCCCTCAGCCTCAATCCCTACTGGTTTTTATAGCCAGAATTTAAGGGGACTTCTCTTCCTGGCAATGGAACCCTGGGCTGGGGGGCCTGATGTGGTCTGGGATCTCCAGAGCCAAGATATCCCTCCTGATTTTAAACCGCCTCATGTGGGTGGCTATGGGACCAGTCTATTCCTGGATTTTGCCCTGTGCCTCCACCCCTCCTACCAGTCTCGATGTGCTGCTTCTTTAATTCCCTAATTGTAGGACTTCTATTTAGCTAGATGTCAGATGGTTCTGAATAATGGTGGTTCTGTATTTTAGTTGTAATTTTGATGTGGTTGTAGGAGGCAGCAAGTACTGCGTTTACCTTCGCCACCATCTTCACTGGAAGCCTAAGCCACCTTCTTTGGAAAGAGCTAAGTGCATAAAGCTATTTATTGGCAAGGGACTGCAACAGCCCAATAAAGAAACCTGACAGAAGCCCAGTTTTTTACCAGCCAAGAATAAGGTTTTTCTTTCTTCTGACCAATAATTCTATAAACTTAAAAATACTCCTTTTGAAAAAATAAACAAGATAGAAACAGACTCAGATACAGAGTAGTCTGATGGTTAACAGAGGGAAGAGGGGTTGGGGGACTGGGTGAAAAAGGTGAAGGGATTAAGAAATACAAATTGGGCCCAGCTGGGTGTGGCTCAGTGGTTGAGCATCGATCTATGATCCAGGAGATTGGGGTTTGATTCCCGGTCAGGGCACATGCTCAGGTTGTGGGCTCGATCCCCAGTTGGGGGTGTGCAGGAGGCAGCCTACCAATGACTCTCTCACCATTGATGTTTCTACCTCTCTCTCCCTTTCCCTTCCTCTCTGAAATCAATAAAGACATATTTAAAAAAAAAAAAAGGAAAGAAAAATAAAAATTGGTAGTTACAGAATAGTCACAGAGATGTACATTACAGCGTAGGGAATATAGTCAATAATATCATAATAACTATGTATGAGGCCAGGTGGGTACTAGATTTATCGGGGGTATCACTTCATGAATTATATAAATGCCTAACCACTACGCTGTACACCTGAAACTAATACAGACTAATATTGAATATAAACTGTAATTGCAAAATTTAAAAACATATTCCTTTTGTTTCTTTGATTTTTATTATTATATTTTATCGTAATCTTTACTACTGTAGTTAATGTATCAGAATACAATTTTGAAAATGATAAATGTTAGCCCTGAATACATTTGTTAATTTTTTCTTTCCATTCAAGATAAGCTTTCATTGGAAGGAATAGTGGTACAAAGAGCTGAATGCCGACCTGCTGCAAGTGAAAACTACATGAGATTAAAGAGGTTGGTGTTTCTTAACTTAAAAATAATACCTGACATTTCCTTTTGGGGATTGAAATACATATGTTAGATTGCCTATTGATTGCAACTATGTTATTATTGGAAGCGTTTTTTCAAAAGCTGTTTGGTTTTAAGACCAAGTAAGAACAAACTTCCAGTTATAAAGTCATAGGGATGTAGTGTACAGAAGGGTGACTACAGTTAATAATACTTTATTGCATATTTGAAAGTTGCTAAGAGAGTAGACCTTAAAAATTCTGATCATAAGAAAAAAAATTTTGTAACTATGTATGGTGACTAATATTAACCACGTATTGTGACCATTTTGCAGTGTATATGATTATCAAGTCATTATGTTGAACACCTAAAACTACACCAAAAAATATAATGTTATATGTCAATTATACTTCAGTTTTTAAAAAGCCCAAGTAAGAGTTTCTTTGGCAGGGAAACTTTCAGAACCTGTGCTGTTTACTTGGGGTACTTTAAGCTACTGTGTTAATATAACCTGGAATCAAACTTTTTAAACTTCTTTTTCTAGTTGTCCTAATAAATCTTGGTGTTCTACAAGCTATGTAATAATATCGTTGTACTATTTTATTTTCAAAGGTTATAATTTTCCCATAATGAATATCTAAAATACTATATAAAGCAAGTATATTACTAGAATATCATCCTTTTCTCTTGATCTGCAGAGAACATTTTATAAACTTACTACTTTTTAGAGCTGTTGCTTCTGGGTCATCCCTTCCACACTTTTGTATGTGGCTAACATTTTGTAATTAAAGATGATGATTGCAAATTCTTGATACTCTAAATTTTATGATTTTCAAAGAGTCAGTAATTTTTAAACCCTAAAGAAATGTATTATACTTGTTTTATAGTTTATCTTGAATGTATTTCAACTCATTAGTTTAGAATTATAAATTTGTTCATTTCGATATTTACTTTGTGAAAAAAAAAAAAAAACAAAAACAGACAAAAATCTTTGCCCTCATAGAGTTTACATTTTAGCAGTCTAGCTGCACAGAGCTGGTAGTTGAGAATACCTAGTCAAGTGGTAGCAGCATCCTCTCGGATTTCAATGTTCTCATCTATCAAAGAGAGTGGTTGAGCTGGATCATCTCTAAATTGCACATCATCTTTTTAATTTTTCCCCCTTTTCTCAATTAGATTAAAGTTTGTCCCTTGAGAATGAAACAAAGAGACTGGCTTTCTTGTTCAATAATTCCTCTAATTTAAGTGCCTCCCCAGAGCAAGTAAAAGTGTGACAATCAAAATAAAAAATTTTTTGTAACAGAAAATAGCTTTGGAACTTAAGCAGAAGATGTTTCTCTTTTTTGTTTTAGCCTGTAAAGTCTTTTTGAAGATCTGTCTTCAAATAACTACTGAAATTGGAAAATGCAAAATCTGGTTACTGAGCTGCTTGCCAAGAATTTTTTCTGTGGTCTTTAATTTTCTTTAAAGGTTTTTAAAGATTTCTGACAATGAGCAGGCAAGTCACCTGCGTTTATGAAATGGCTGCTTTTTTCTTAACAAAAAAGAAATTAAACTTGTTTAGTGTTTGGAGTATGCTAAAAGACCAGTTAATGCATATTTCAGTTACTTAAGTCACTTAAGGAAACAGGGTGCTTCAGGAGATGATAATCATCTGAGTTTCATAAAGCAGATGATACCAAAGTCTTGAAGACTGAGAGTTTTTGACCAAGTGGGAAGACACAGGAGTGAGAACACTATAAACAGAGACTTGCAGGCACAAAGACTTGGGAATACTTTAGAGACCTGCTTAGAGTTCTCCAGGCCTGCAATGCAGGATTTGTTTGAGGCAGAACAAACAGAAACTCCAGCCCAGACTTTTTTCTTTGAACTCTAAACTTATATACCCAAGAGCCTGGTTCAGTGTCCAGTAGACATTTTAGATATGTCAAAAACTGAACTTCCAGTCTTTCCCCCAAAACCTGCTCCACCAGCATCTTTCTCATTGAGTTAACTGTGTCCTCCCATTTTGTCAGTCCAGAAACCTTGATCACATTCCTGACTCCTCCCTCATACCCCACATCCATTGTGTAAGCAAAATCTGATTAACACTACCTTTAAAATATTACACATCTAGAGTCTGACCATTTCTCATCACCCACATGATCTGTCATTATTTCTCACCTAGATCACTGCGGTAGCCTCCTAGCAGAGTTCCTGCTTCCACCTTTGCCTCATGGCAGTCCTTTGTCAGCACAGTAGCCAGAGCAGTTCTTTTAAAATCTGTCAAGTTGTGCCATTCCTCTGCTCACATGTCACTCTCACTGCTTGCTCTATTACTCAGAATAAAATTCGAGCCCTTACTATTGCCTGCATGATCACTCTGCCGTCCCCTCCCCTTTCTCCCCATCCTCATCTCCTTCTCCCCTCTTCCTTTACTCTGCTTCAACCGCATTGGTCTCCTAATAGTCCATGAGCACTGCAGGCACACTTCTGTATTAGGGCCTTTGTACTGGATGCCCTTTTCTGCCTGCAACATACTTTCTCCAGATAACTGCATGGCTCAGCTCCTCATCTCTTTCAAGTCTCTTCTCAGGTTTTACTTTAATAAGGCCTACCCTGATCATCCTTCTTTCTTGTATACTTGTATTTTCTACATAGCACATAACACTTTCTAATGTATGTCCAATATAATTTGTATTTATTGCCATCTTTGCTCTAGTGCAGTTTAAGCTCTCATAGTTTGTTTTTTGCTTTGTCTTTGTGTGTGTATGTATCTATTTTGTTCGCTAATACACACACACCAAAGGTCTGGAATAACTCATTATAAGTATGTAGGTAGTCAGTACATATTTGTGGAGTAAATGAATGACAGGAGATAAGGTTTGAAATATATATCCTTAAAGGACCTGCTAAAGCATCTTATGTGGTAAGAAATTTGGACTTGTGTGTGCCACAGCTATTAGGAAGGCACTGAAAAGTTTTAAGCTGGATGAAAGGTAAAGGGATTTGTGTTTTAAATAGATCATCCTGGCCGTAGTATAAAGACTGAAAGCAGGGAGATAAGCTAAGAGGCTGATGTAATAACCCAGGTACAAAATGTCTGAATGATTAAACAAACTGGTTCTCATTAGAAGGGAAATGAGGGACTAGGTTTTGAGGATATTTGGAGTTAAGAGTTGGTGGAACTTGATGAACTCCTCTCAGACTTCAGTGGTTGTGAGACACGCGACCTGCTCTAGGATCAGACAGATGGTGATGGCTCTTGTGTTGTAGCCTGGGTGTACTTCCTGCTGTGAATCCCCAGATTGGCTCCATACCATTCTGTGCATTGCACAGGACAGTTTACACTGATGAAGGGAGAGGGAAGTTATTTTAATGCCCATGTCTGTGTAAATTTAAATTCTGGTTGGCAATTTACATAAAAACTTAAAGGAGAAAGTACTTAAACTGCTAAAAGAGTACCAGTGGGTAAATTCTTGCTCCAGAGAGTTAATGAACCTGAAGAGGCACACAGGATTATCTAAAAAATCTATTTACTGACAGTATAGTGGGGGTGGGAGTGAGTATGGAAACATGGTGGCAGATTTTTAGATGTAGGTGACGTCAAAATAGAAGTGTTTTTGAGGACAGAATTGGCAATTCGGTACTTGAGATATCCTGTACCTAGATATTTCACACATATGCTCTAAATTTTTCAGGGACCTCCTTCTGACTTCCTATTTCTAATGTCGTTCAAGTTCTTTATAATCTGACTCTTCCTATTTTCTGATTTCACTTTCAGGTTGTCTTTACATAGACAGCAGATAGCTGTATCACACTAGAAGTTGTTGTCCCAGATGTGCTAGGTGCTTTTACATCTTACGTGTTTATTACATGCTGTGCATTCTACCTAGAACCTCTGTCTGCCTTCTGCCAAGATCCTTCTGATCCTTTGAAATCAACCCAGTCGTCACTCAAGGAAACCTCGTAGCTTCCACTCCCTGCTCCAGAGAGGATTTGCCATCTCCTTTTCTTTTTTAATCCTCATTTGGGGACATTTTTTCCATTGCTTTTCAGAGAGAGTGGAAGGGGGTGGGTGGAGAGAGAGACCCATCGATTGGCTGCCTCCCGAATGCACCCTGACCTGGGGGCCGGGGATTGAACCTGCAACCCAGGTACATGCCCCTGGCCAGAATCGAACCCAGGACCTCAATCCACAGGCCAATGCTCTAACCACTGAGCCAAACCAGCTAGGGCTTTTATGTAAATTTTTATATCAAATTTATTAAACAGCAAAATGCATAATAAACTCAAAATAGTTTTATAGATGACCAGGGGTATGTAGTATTAGATTTTAGCTTCCTGATGATCTTATTTGAAACAGTTTTTATTTAACAGAATTTTGGGGCAATGTTGAGCTTAAGGGTTAATATCTCAGTGTCAGGATGCTTTCATTTTCAAGTATCAGAAAACCCCAAAATGACTTAAAAATAAAAAGAATTCATTGACCCACATAAATCGGATCCAGTCGTACTTTGGGCTTTAGCCATGGCTTTATCTGGAAGTTCTCAATGTCCTCAGTGCTCTAGCTCTGTTTCTAATTTTCTTGGGTCTGTCTTTCTCCAGCTTGACTATCCTCAGACTGACTTATCTCTTGGTAATAAGATAGCTATATGCAGCTCTCAGAATTATCTGCCTCTTTATTCATATGAAGCCCCAGGAGTTAACTGACCTTGTCTTTAGCCATTAAACAGAACCCTTCACTTTGTTCAGTGGGCTAACATGGGTTCTGAGTCTATCCCTGAACCAATAAATGAATCAGTGGAGATGGGATACATGGACTGATTAGGGCCCATCTGTCGAAATAGGAGGTAGGGTCCATCCCATCCAAAGCATGTGACTCTTCCTCAGTAGGGAAGGGGTGGAGTGGATGCTAGGGAGGCAATCACAAGATCTACAGCAAAACCTTCATTCCAGAAAGCACCTTAGGAATAGGAAATACTCATCAGGGACATTCGCACCCTTGATCGCTTCCCTGTATAGAG